AGATATTTACAATTAGCTGTATGCATCACTCTGAAAGCACCGTGCAGGAAATATCTCACCTAGATTGGATTGGCTCCCAATGGGTTATAATAGCATTACGGACCTCAGCGTCACTTTCTAATCCTTCTATAGTGTGTCACTACCATCTCAAAGACAAGGTCATTGGAACATAACTTTCATTGTCACTTTGTTTGCATGTGACAGCCAAAAATGTTTCAATGAGGAGGACTGACAGAGCAAGTTGGAACTGAAAGTTCTTTTTGGCAGAACAGCTCTGGCACAAAATGGAACTCTAACTGGTTCCTTAATGGTCAAAGCTACAACCTCCATTTATCTTCTTGTTTGAGCTAGCGGTTGGAATTACTGGCTGGCTGTTCTCACAGATCTATTTGTCTCTATCCAGTGTCACGTTTCTCTTTGTGTTGTTATTCTTTTTGTTGGTGAAGGTATGTGTCCCTAGAGCAGGCTGGCAACTTTTATATTGTGTACCCAAATGGGCATTCCCTCATACATATGAATGCATATTTCCTTCTCAACTTCTTACTTGCTTTGTGGCATTGATATGTCAGTGCATGTGCTAATCCACATTATATCTCCACTTAAAATATTGCTTATCTTAATTTCAGGTTAACATATGGGTGTGTGTGAAGTTTCCTTGGTCATATTTTTGTGATCCTGTCAATTGACTACCATTTGACATTTAAATGTGTCACCAATTACATTGATACAAAAGTCTTAATATGTAGAAAAAGAGCAATATTGAAACACTTTACTCTCAAAAAATAAAAATAGACATTTTTGCTTTCATTTTGTTTTTTTTAAGGCATCTCATATCTAGCTCTAGTGTTTATGCTTGATCATATCTTACACCATTTTAATTTATTCATGGCATACAGCAGGTATTCCACAAAGGTATTTGATTAATAATTATATAATATATTAGCTAGGGTACAGAAATCTAATCTTTATTTTTATTTATTCATTCATTCATTTATTTATTTTTTGCAAACTTGGCTTTATGGAAATACTCTAGTTTCACCTTGGAAGCTAGCAGTTTGCAAATACTATATATTCATAGTCATATGTTTCTTAATTAATTTAGTCATTTATTTTAATAAATATTTAGTGGACATTCACTATGTGCCAATTATGGCTCTAAGGACTGGCAGGATGATGGAGAACAAGAGAGATATGTCTTTCCTCTCTCAGGGAGTTTCCATCTAAGAAGTGTGGATGTCACATGATGTTGAGTGGCCTCTAATTTCTGGCTACCCTCTGAATGAGCGATGTCCACAATGTCCTGTCCGCGCCAGCCCTGCTCTGCTCCTGTAAGTTCATACCTGTGGTTTCTTTCATGGAGTTTACCCATCTCCTATTGGCTCATTTTCTTTTTCTGCTGCCCTCTATTGTCTTTTCCAAAGAGCCCTGCCCTCTCAGTATGTGCCCACATTAAGATAGCTTCAGTTTTGTCATTTTTGCCTCCAGAGATATTTCAGTCTTACTTTGTTCTGGAACCCACTTGTCCCTCTTTCTGGCACTACTGGGTATTTATAGAGCTCTCCTCCAACACTATAGTTCATATGAATCATTTTTTCCCTATCAGCCTTCTGCACTGTCCAACATAGTAACTGGGAATATGAGGGAAGTACCATCCATAAATAATCTTCATGGTTCAAAGCCTTTAATGCAGGTGTCAGTAACCCATCCAACTTTTACCCAGATCTCTCCTGCATCACGTCAGCACTTAGTCCTCCAGGTCTCAGAATGATTAGCAGTTGATCATTCAAATTTGGATTATTTCCAGAAATCTTCCTTCATGAAAGTGACCTTCCTTCAGTTTCACATTTTTTCCTGGGGACATCCATCTTCCATTGAATGGTGGGATTCAAAGACCTGGCATTTTATTCCCCAAGGTGGGGTGCTTGTTAAGGGGCAACCATCTCCAGGGCTCCCATGAAATTAGGCAACAGGCATCACCTTTTTTTTTTCTCTGCCTAATCCTGCTTCCTTTACTCCCATAAAAAGAGAAGTTCCCATAACAGTACACCCAAACAAACCTTGTGGATGTAAATTTTCATCCCAAATAGTGTTTTGTTTTGTTTTGTTTTTTAAGCCAAAATAAATTAAGGCCTTGACAGCTACCAGTGATAAAGTGTAGTAAAGGAGTTCCTAAGAGTATTGTAATTTTGGACCAGGGGTATTAACATCAAATTTAAACAAGTGGCATTTGAAATATATAAAGAGGTATGAAAAAGTTCTAAATGTGGTCCTCTCACATTCTCTATTCATTCCAAAGCAAATAAAATCGTACCACAAGGAATGTACCTCATTTTCCTCCTTTAAAAAGTTTTTCTCTTAAAATGCCCACTCTAAGGATTGTCAGGAATTCTAAGTTGACTTTGCAAAGAATGTTTTCTCTTCAAATTCTATTGTTTATTCAAATATTTCCTAATTCATAGAAATTTAGATTATCTTTAAAATTGTAAAACATCTATAATGTCTGATAGCATTAACATTTGATTTTATATCCTATTGTATTGTTTCCATTGTGCAATTCAGATTGTTCTACAGCCTCTGTGAAGAAGGTGCTATATTGCCACTTCCATAACCCTCTACACTACCCACCAATCCCAGCTACACATTGATGGCAGAGGATAAAACAGCACCAAGTGTTAGGTGGAATGAGAACTGACCTGGGTTCAGAAACCTCGGTACTTGAGTTCTGGCTAAGAAAGAATTCAGAGCCAAGACTAAAAGCATAAGAGAAAGTTTATTCAGAAAGTCACAGAGATAGAAGAAGTGAGACATAGAAGAAACGGCTCAGGAAACAAGTTCCAGAGAAGGCCCTTGGACCTTAGGTGGGAGAAAGATAAAGGTAATATACCTGAGGGGAGTAGGAGGTGGACTGGAAAGGCATTGGGCATGCTTCAGAAAAGGAGAATGCACTGTGTCCTCCTCCTTCCTCCTAAGAGCTTATCAGTTAGAAATTCTAGGGGAGGTTCCACGGGGGGATCTCAATAGAATTTTCATCAATTTTCTGGGTGTGTCCTTTCAGGGTCTTGGGCTCCACTAGTTGGTTGGTGCCAGGGCAGGGGGTCACTATTTAATGCAGCTGGTCCTGATGTCAGCTATGAACTCCTTTGTCTGATTTTGCTGCTTTTCTGGGTCTGGAGCTGAAACACAACTGAAGTGTTATCCTTAGGGGTTAATGCTTAAGAGAGTCTTCCTGCAAAGGCCCCATGGGAGTCACATGAGGCCACACCTTGGCTCCTTGTTCCTCCTCTAAGGGGGTCTCCCACATGACTTAGTGACATGACAGGGGAGGAAAGGTCAAGGAATGGTCTGAATTGTATGACCTGTGATATGAAAGGTCAGGGGTCTAAACCACATGACCAGCAAAATGCTAGCAGAGGAAAGATTACTGGAGGAGGGATGTCGTTTTTCCCCCCAGTTTTGCCAGTTGCTAAGCATCCAGGGCTTTCTGCACTGGTAACCTTCTGTACCTGACCCATTGTCCTTGCCCTGCTCGTGTCTGTCTAACTGCCCATCACAAAAGTATATCAGAATGTCTCGACACTTGAGAGTTATTCAAAGAGAGAAACAAATTCAATGCATTCCTTTTTAGAAGATATGAAAATTACTTGGAAAATTGAAAACAGCAAGTCTATTAAAGATTGAACATGCTCTTTTTCTCTATTCTTGCCTTACATTTGGCTGTATACACTTTCAGAATGCAGCCTTGCAATTATGAGTTATGAATCTGAGTTCTAACATAATATTGTCTACTAATAACTATATTGAAATATTAAAAATAAACAATAGAAAATTAAAGATGAACCAAAGCCAATGAAGAGCATGGTACCTAATTTATTAGTGTAGCATAATAGAGTCTAAAATTGCTTATTAAAAAAAAATCCAAATATATCATTGCCTTTGTAAAATGTGACAACACCATCTACTTGAAGTTAATAATAACATCTAAAGCAATACTTCTTGTGGATATTTTTCTCACAACAGTTTCTGATTTTTCAAAATGTGGGTCTCTGTGCCTTGTCATCTCCATGCACACTTGTTGTTACTGTTGTTGTTTTGGCTGTTGCTGTAATACTCTTTATATATATTATGTTTTTACCAGTAATGTAAAGAGTCTGGACCTCTGCAATTTGAGATGCTTAAATCGTCCTCATCTTCAGGAAATAAATTTACTTTATATTAGAAACCCATTTATGGAGATGGTTAGAGTGTCATTTAATCAGTTAGATGCAGTCAAATATCATCAAGATCTCTTTCTCCTTTCTGATATAATGAATGGAGTGGTTTCTTTCTCATTTTATTTTGGAAACCTCAGTAAAATTAATCAAGCATGTTTTACTAAACCCACGTTGTTAAGCCTCACATTTGATATATTCATTGCCTGCACTTCAGAAGGGTGGTTTGGGATAGGGTAAAAGGAGTATTCTTTCCTTTTCGTGAATGCACATAAATAGATTGTAAGAATTTCAATTTTGATATTTGCATCCATGACTATTTTTAAGATCAAATTTGGTGCCCATGAGCACTTATTTATTATTCATAAAGTATATGTTTCTTTGATTTTAGACATTAATGGTCTTCTCAAAAGCAAAGATATCACATCCAAACTGCTTTCTCTGTTGTTACTGACATCTATGAAAGACTACTTTAGTAAGACTATTTTAGTATGTTTTAAGTTTAAAACATTTTTAAAACCACAGTGTTCAGCCAAAAAATATAGATATTTTTTTTTACTAAAAGTATATGAAATAAAGCTATGCCACTTCATTGATTAGAATACTTACACATAAAATATTAGAAAGGAAAGGAATCCTATCTAATAAAGAGGGAATATGCTAATTGACCCACACACCTTTGCAAAGATGGCGGCACCCACAGCCAATAAGGAAGGAATGTGCTAATTGACTGTCATGCCCTCAAAGATGGCAGTGTCCACAGCCACCAGATGGCAGCGACCAGTCTCCTCAGCCCCACCAGGGTGGCAGGTGCGCAGCAAGGCTGGGCCACTCCACACACCTGCCTCTGGAGTCCCCCAGTCCCCTAAGCCCCCTAGCTGCCCAGGGCTGGCCCAAGGCACAGGCAAGCCTCAGATGTCAGCTGCCTAACTGCCCAGGTCTGGCCTGAGGTGCAGGCAAGCCTTGGATGGTGTCTGCCAAGCCGCCCAGAGCTGCCCAAGGCTCAGGTAACCAGGGCCAGCCAAGGCTTGCACTGTTGGCAGTGGCAGCAGCAGAGGAGTGATGGGGCGTCGCCTTTCCCTGATCACCAGGTCTCCTCCCTCCCTTGAGGGTTCCTGGACTGTGAGAGAAGGCAGGCCAGGCTGGGGGACCCAATCCTCCAGTGCATGAATTTTTATGCACCGGGCCTCTTGTATAACATAGCTAAAAAGATATATGCACACACACATCCATATACACACATATGCATATATATTCTCTCTCTCTATCTCAATTGAATATTCCGTGGAACTGGAACTATAATAATTATCAATGAAAAGTCTTCTCTCAACCAAAAACAGATACAGAGTCAGCCACAGGAAGTGGTGGTGTGGCACTATATAGTGATGAGAGGTCAAGTGTCCTGATTCTTAAGGTTTATCATCTCAAGAGGAGACAGTCATTTATCTCTCACTCTAATATGTGCTAAAATTGAGATACCAAGGTTTATAAGCTATTACCTAATAAAGGAGCACTTAAATTTCATTTTCAAAGAGTAACCATCTCTTTAGCATTTACAATCCACAATACAAGATTGATTACATAAAATACCCTACATATCTGTCATATGCTGTATAATGTAAACTGAAAGCGTTCTGCCCTCATTATTTTCCTTACCTAATGGGCAGTATAAGGTCAGCAGTTCACTAAATGCTTCTTCCTGATGTGAAATTCAAGTGGGGCCTTGAAGATATAAACTTACCTTTTTGCACTAAAAGAAAAACATATTCAAGTCAGCAATCCATATTAAGCAAATAAACAATTCATTTGAGGATTTTGATATCTTCCAGTACATCTCAGAAAGAAAACCAAAAGTTGAGTGCCATCAGACATGTCAATATCCTTCTAATACTTCTGTACACGGTGGTTTATCTCCAGCTAATTTATGGTGCTTTCTGAAGTCTTACCACAATCACAACAGTGTTTCACACCCAAAGCTCAGTTTTTTACTCCAATGTAATATATAAGGGAGTCTGCTTTCATTTCCACATATTATGCTAAGGGAGAAAAAAATCAATTGCTCTAATTTGGGATAATAGCTTTTCAAATTCATATCTCTTTTAAACTTCTTTTTATTTCTCAACAAATTTATATTTATTTATTAATTAATTTATTTCTTTTTTTTAATATATTTTATTGATTATTCACAGAGAGGAAGGGAGAGAGAAAGAGAGTTAGAAACATCGATGAGAGAGAAACATCGATCAGCTGCCTCCTGCACATCTCCCACTGGGAATGTGCCCGCAACCCAGGTACATGCCCTTGACCGGAATCGAACCTGGGACCCTTCAGTCCGCAGGCCAACGCTCTATCCGCTGAGCCAAACCGGTTTCGGCAATTTATTTATTTCTTAAAGCCCCAGGTTAGACCACTGAACACAGTTTTTTTGTTATTGTTGTTAATGTGTTTGTTTGTTTGTTTATTTATTTCAGAGAGGAAGGGAGAGGGAGAGAGAGAGATACATCAATGATGAGAGAGTCATTGGTTGCCTGCCTCCTGCATGCTCTACACTGAGGATTGAGCCCGCAATCCAGGCATGTTCCCTGATCGGGAATTGAACTATGACCTTTTGAACATAGGTAGATGCTCAACCATTGAACCACACTGGCCAGACCTATATCTTCTTCAGTATCTACAGTGGTAGGCCCACAGAAGATAGTCTGTGCATCTTAGTTAGATATAATTAGATTAATAGCCACCCGGTACCTAAGTTACCTGAAATAAAAATGGGGAAATGAAAGACAGAGAGGTAACCATTTTTATGAAGATTTTGTGTCACTAAATTCCAACCACCAATACCAGCATGGCTGAAATTGAACAACTCTCATTACCAATGTTGACTTATTTTCCTTTTTACTGAAGAGGTCAAAGACCTTGTTTTGTCTTTATCAAAACTTCCCTGAATTTCTGATTGTCCTGATTTAGATTTCAGAAGAGGAAGCTCACAAACTAAAACTTTTCCTCGGCCACCAGACCAAGTTAAAAACAAGCCGAATAAAACCACCAAAAACAAAACCATAAAGTGCCAAAGAGCAATGTTTATAAGTTCTCAAACAGAAGCTGAAAAACACCAATAAAGTTTGAATTTAGCTCAAATGTACCATCAACCTCAGGCAGCTCGCTCCCGCCCCTACCCACTTTTAATGGTCCATTTGTCTAGTCCGCCTGGAAGATCTATAGAGAAAATTACCAGGGCAGAATGTAGATCCAATTGCACATCCTGCTACAGGAGAAACGATTCCTGTTCTCATCATTGGGATCAATAATCTGCTAACACAGTATTAGCAAGAGCAACAACTCCACCAGGTTAAAGGAGTTTTACACTGAATAATGACGGCCCAGGAAAGGGAAAAGCTGAGAAAGTAAATCCTGGCGGCCTTTTACTATTGAGAGAGCACATGCCAGTGAATCAATAGTGGCTCTGGTGAGTCTGGGCTGTAAAGATGCTTTATGGTTCCGCCTAAGTACATTGGCAGAGAGGCTCCTCTTAATATCTGCACACAGGAGCCGCTGGGGTCCAGCACTGCCCTATTAATGAAAGCATTTCCTCTTAGAGGAGTGGAATTTCTTTCCAGGGACCCAGAGCATGGCTGCATCTTACCTCTATAGAAACTCCAAGAAAAAGAAAAGGGTGGGCATGGGAAGAATGGTAAGGAAAGGCCCACAGAAAGTGAGGAAAGGGACCTGGAGCTAGAGCAGCCGTGGGCAAACTACAGCCAGTGGGCCAGATCCGGGCTGTTTGAAATGAATAAAACTAAAAAAAAAAAAAAAAAAAAAAAAAGACCGTACCCTTTTATGTAATGATGTTTACTTTGAATTTATATTAGTTCACACACACACTCCATCCATGCTTTTGTTCCGGCCCTCTGGTCCAGTTTAAGAACCCATTGTGGCCCTCGAGGCAAAAAGTTTGCCCACCCCTGGTCTAGAGGATGCTACTTTTTGACAAAAGATTTCAAAAACCAATCAAGGCCTTTTCTCCCATGTCTTCCTAAGTATTTCTAGAAGCAGAGATAATTAAAACCAATGTGTTTCTTGGTTTTCCTCTAGGACAAATAAGTGATTTTTTGAAAAGAAAACATTATGGTAATGACCAGAGAGAAAAGGGATTGGTGGGAGGTAGAACGGGGTAAATAAGGGGATAAGTGGTGATGGAAGGAAACTTGATTTGGAGTGATAAACCAATACAATGCACAGATAATGTATTATAGGATTGTACACCTGAAACCTATGTAATTTTATTAACCAACTAGAGGCCCGGTGCACAAAATTTGTGCAAGGGGGGAGAGGTCCCTCAGCCTGGCCTGCATCTTCTCCAATCCAGGACCCCTCGGGGGATGTCCTACTGCCTCTTGCAAACTGGGACCACTGGTTCCTAACTGCTCACCTGCCTGGCTGCCTGATTGTCCCAACTCCTCTGCCTGTCTGATCACCCCTAACCACCTCTGTCTCATCCAACATCCGGGACCCAGGATTTCCTCCTCTGGCCAGTCATAGGGACCTGGGACACAGGCTTCCCTCCCTCTGGCCAGCCACAGGCACCCAGGATGTGGACTCACTTCACCCGGTTAGATTTAAGTATTCTCTTTGAAGATGTGGACTCACTTCACCCGGGCTGGCTGTAGCTGCAGGGGACCCTGGGAGGGCAGTTTGTCCCTCTCCTGGGCCACAGGTGCAGCTGCTGCTGCCTTGGACTGCGGGGCGTGTGGCCACAATCTGGCTGGTCCCCATTCCTCTCTCACAAACTCATTTGTGCCTGGCTAGTCCCCATTCCTCTCATGCAAGCTCATTTGTGCCTGGCAGGTCCCCATTCCTCTCTTGTCAGCTCATTTGTGCCTGGCTGGTCCCCATTTCTTTCTCCCCAGTGTTGAGTGTCTGAGCTGTTATGGCATTATAGTGTGAAGGCATGATGGCCATTTGCATATTAGCTCTTTATTATATAGGATGCCACCCCAATAAACTCAATAAATAGAAAATAAGAGAGAAAAGCAGACATAGATGAGTATGTACAGTAAACTGCTGGGGATTCAGCAGAGCTACAAGAAAAACCAATGTCAAAAGTTAACATTCCATGGGAGAGCAGACTCCAGTACAGCATTACCAGTAGACCAGTTGCAGTCCATTAGTCCATTCGGTATGGGGTCCACATAGCTGTGTTCCATGTGGGCAAATGCCAGAGTGAGAGAGTCCTATAAGTCAGGAGCTCAACCAAGAGAGTGAACACCTTTTTAAAGGAGATTAAGTATCTCAAATCTTCCGAGGCTGGCAGTGTTCACACCTACTCTGGCCAATGACCTGTTCCCAGGTGTGACAGAGGCAAGTACCTTCCCTAAGTCACCCAGGCTTTACTGGCCATGCATCTATTCTCCCCTTGTGTAGTCCCTTCTGCTGGCTACCTGAGGAGTGTTAAACTGCAACTTCCTGGCAAAGAGGCACAAATGACTATAATATTTGGCCTTCCCTTTGCTCCTTTCCAGTTATTCATAAGTAGGTTAAATTATAACACTATCACTTGGACTACAAACCGCATCTACTGTTTAAGATTGAAAAAACAATAACAACAACAAAAAAACCCAAACAAACAAAAAATCAACCTCTCAGGCTCTCTACCATCTATAGGCAAGAAGCAGGCTGATAAAGGTGCTGAACTGCCAAATAAGGTGCAATTTCAATGGCCCACTTCAAATGGGGTGTGTGTGTGTGTGTGTGTGTGTGTGTGTGTGTGTGTGTGTGTGAATAAAGTAGAGCCAATGGCCATGGAGAA